GAAACCTCTCTGGTTTTGCTATTTTCGACTTACACTTATTGTGAAAATGCTGATCAGTACAATATCATGTAAGTTATTGTATATAAACGAATGAGTATATACTTAAGATAGATAATTTTCATCGAAGAAGAATAACTTGAGATAAAATTTATTGTAACAATTTTTAGACATGGGGAACTTACTACCAACAAGCACCTACCTCAAAGTGCGTTAAATTTCTAGGGATCTAGAATTGACTGAACAACGACTGTTCACCAGTTCATAAAATAACTGACTGTGAGCGTGAGCCATGCGGGTTGAGAGAGACCATCTAATTGAGGTCCAAGCAATTACCACGCTCAGTGGCTTTAAACATTGCGTAATACTGCCCAGTATCTCTCACAATAAATAAGCTACATTCACTCTCTCTCTCTCTCTCTATATATATATATATATATATATATATTCTTACTTACGCCTGTTACTCGTGAAGGAGAACAGGCCGCTCACCAGCATTCTCCATCCAACCCTGTCCTGGGCAATCCTTTCCAGCTCTTTCCAGTTGTTATTCATCCTTTTGATATCTGCTTCTATTTCCCGACGTAATGTGTTCTTTGGCCTTCCTCTTTTCCGTTTCCTTTCAGAATTCCAAGTTGGGACTTGTCTCGTGATGCAGTTTGGTGATTTCCTCAATTTATGTCCTATCCATTTTCATCGTCTTTTCCCAATTTCTTCTTCAGCTGAAAGCTGGTTTGTTCTCTCCCACAAAAGGCTGTTGCTGATGGTAACCGGCCAATGGATGTTGACTATCTTGCGTAGACAGCTATCTATAAATACTTGTACCTTCTTGATGATGGTTGCAGTAGTTCTCCAATTTTCAGCTCCATACAGTAGAACTGCCTTGACGTTCGTATTGAAGATTCTCACATTGATATTGGTTGAAAGTTGTTTTGAGTTCCATATGTTCTTCAACTGTAGGAATGCGACCCTTGCTTTGCCAATCCTCGCCTTTACGTCTGCATCTGAACCTACTTGTTCATCGATTATACTTCCCAGATATGTGAAGGATTCTACATCTTTCAGAGTTTCGCCATCAAGAGCGATTGGGTTGCTGTTCTCCGCTTTGAATTTGAGGACCTTGGTTTTCCCTTTGTGTATGTTGAGGCCTACTGATGCAGAGACTGCTGCTACACTTGCTGTCTTTATCTGCATCTGTTCGTGTGTATGCGATAGGAGGGCTAGGTCATCTGCGAAGTCCAAATCGTCTAACTGATTTTGAGCTGTCCATTATATTCCGTGTTTTCCTTCAGATGTCGAGGTTTTCATAATCCAGTCGACCACCAAAAGAAAGAGAAAGGGAGAGAGTAGACAGCCTTGTCTGACTCCGGTCTTTACTTGGAATGCATCTGTCAGCTGTCCTCCATGCACGACTTTGCATTGTAGTCCGTCATATGAGTTCCGTATAATATTGACAATCTTCTCAGGAACTCCGAGTGTCGAAGAAGCTTCCATAACATTCTCTTATCTACACTGTCAAATGCCTTTTCACAATCAATGTAGTTGGTGTAAAGTGACGAGTTCCACTCATCTGATTGTTCGAAGACGATCCGTAGTGTCACAATTTGGTCCGTGTACGACCGGTCCTTACGAAATCCAGCTTGTTGATCTCGAAGTTGGGCGTCCACCGCGTCTTTCATCCGGTTCAGCAACACTCTGTTGAAGACTTTCCCTGGTATTGACAGTAGTATAATGGCTCTATAGTTTTCACATTTGCTTAGATCTCCTTTCTTTGACATCTTGATGAGGTGTCCTTCTTTCCAGCCCATCGGCACTTGTTCCTCCTCCCAAATCTTTTTGAAAAGAACATGGAGCATGTTTGTAGTTACTTCTATGTCTGAATTCAGTGTTTCAGCTGGTATATTGTCGGGTTCTGCTGCTCTCCCGCTCTTGATTTGTCTGATGGCCATTATGATTTCTTCCGTCTTTGGTGGGTTGACGTCTATGGGAAGATCTGTGTGTCCTGCTTCGATGTCCGGTGGATTCATTGGAACCGGCCTATTCAAGAGCTCCTCGAAGTACTCTACCCATCTGTTCCGCTGTTGTTGAATTTCGGTGATTGGCCCGCCTTCTTTGTCCTTGGCCGGTCACTGGTTTGCTATATTTCCCTTCTAGTTTCTTCGTTGTATCGTATAGTTGTTTCATGTTTCTTTCTCTTGCAGGTTTTTTCGCCGTCGTTGCTAGTTCGTCCACGCATCTCTGCTTGTCGGTTTTAATGCTCCTCTTCACTTGTTTGTTTGCTTCTATGTATTCAGCCTGTGCTTGGATTTCCTCTGTTCGTATTCGGCTGTTGTTAATTGCTGTCTTCTTGTTCTTCGTTTCTCTGATCTTGTCCAGTGTTTCTATGGAGATCCATTCCTTATGATGGTGCTTCTTTAGACCCAGAACCTCTTGACACGTTGAAGTTCATGCTTCTTTGACACTTTTTCAGTTGTCCTCCATACTAGTTTCTTCTTCCTTCAGTAGATCTTGTAGGGCTTGGAACCTGTTGTTGAGAGCTATCTTGAATTCGTTGAACTTGTTAGTATCTCGAAGGACGGCCGTATTGAACCTTTGTAGTGCTATTTGTCCAGTTCTCCAGTTCTTACTTAGCTTCAGCTTTAAATTGGCCACAACTAGGTGGTGATCTGAAGCTACGTCAGCTCCTCTCCTGGTTCTCACATCTTCCATTGTCCTTCGTAATTTTTTGTTGATGCAAATATGATCTATCTGGTTTTCTGTACTGTGGTCCGGTGAGATCCATGTAGCTTTGTGTATGCGTTTGTGTGGAAATATTGTGCCTCCTATGACCAATTTGTTGAATGCATACATTTCAACAGTCAATCAAGCTTAATTGTCACCAATATTTGTTTGTATATTTTTAGATGTTTATTTCAACGTAATTGGGCTTCCCTTATTGAGTACATTGAATGTTTATCGAATGAAACCAACTGATGGTGTAAGTTTCCACTTTGTAAATATTATGGATGAACATGCTTTGAATTTTGAGTGAATTCACACTATCGGTTAGTGTGGACTGGTTGTGCCTAGAAAGATAATTTCTGCAGTCGTACAAACTCGACCGAGCTTGATTAAATGAAAATAGGCTGTGTTAAGAAAGATAGAGAGTGGTATCATTTATTGATAGATATGGAAGCACTATACGGATTTAACAACTTTTACAAGAAGAATGTTGGAACGTATGTGAGAAAGTATTTTGTGCTTTAACTAATATTTTATTCATTTTGTCGTGTTCAGGGCTACTGGGAATTCCTTTATTGTGCAATTGCTGAGTGGGTACTGGTTCTTGCGTGTCTTCTATTCACTCTAGTTATTGCTCTGGAAACTCAAACATATGAAGACGTTTTAGCACGGAATAAAACCAGAAATATTACCACAATACACCTTATGAAACAAGTTTAAAATATCTGAATTGTTTCGAGCGACATCTTGTACTCACTAATCTTTAAACAAAATTGATGAATATATTGATGAATAGCGAGTTGATCATTTCTTTATGAACTAACTGGTGAGAAAATCGAAAACTTGGTTCTTAATTTGTTTCGAAAGTCAGTTGGGGAAACATTTAAATTGGATGAAATTTGATTTTCACTTACATCAGTTGAAATTTTGATTATCGCTTGGAAATACCATGGTTGCATGTGTATCCAGATTTAGGAAACAATCTTCGAGGAATTCGAAGTTACTCTGAATCATCCGATGCTCTCTGTTATCTCAGAAATCTGAGTTGGAGAATCAAAACCTGTGGTATATGTTTGCTCTATGGAACAACGGATAACTTTCAAGTGGGATTTTTGGAAGAGTATCGATACATTGTGATATATCCACATTGATTTAATTGAATAAATTGAAAGCAGTGATAAGTGGCCGAATGGTTTGTCATATGCCAGTTTTAACTGTGAAACAGATTACATAAATGATAACAGTAATTTACAATTACAAACCTTTTATTAGTTGACTAGTGCAGTAGTAGCAATAGTATAAATAATAAATAGCTTGAAAACATGAGCAAATATTCCTACGTAGGATGTAAGTCAAACTCGGAAAATAAACTTTTTAGAATGATAGTCAGTAAATTTAACGCATTAAGAAGTGTGTGAATAATCATTTCGAATATCTTGAAAAGAAAGAAGTGATGTAAAAAGGATCAAGGGAAAAGAAAGTGATTTGGAAAATATGGTGAGATCATCTTGTACATTTCCTCTGACTGGAAAACGGCAACAGGTATCGAAAACTTCTGAGGTAAAGAAAGACTATAGTTGTTTGTTAAAATTTCTGGTGTAAGTGCAAGATGAAGTGAAACCACATTTAGGAAATTGAAATGCGTTATTTGAATCATTCAAAGTTGTTAATTCTATTTACAACATACCTACTATCAACCTAGTGTTATAGAGCAGAGAGGTGTATTGATTATGTCTAACACTTGCCAAACCTTAAATACGAGTCAGTTATTCAAAATAAGTCGGTCGAAAATACCAGATCAAAATGAAATTCAATATTAACTAAAGACACATTGTCTAAATCTAACTAGTTTTAGATGCCAAAATATTTATTCAGCAGGTCAACTTGATTCTCAGCTTCGCTACGTGAAATAGATGAGTAAGAGAGCGTGACTGAGGTAATAAAAATGACGAATTATGACTCGATTAAAAAAATTACAGTATTTGTTGAAAGTGGGCTTTTCACTGAACTTTTATAGTGCTGAGTATTTCATTGGTCGTGGAGGAAAACGGACAGAGGTTGCACAGTCTATACTCTAAGCACTTGGACGTTTTTTTCTCTTTTTTGATTCTCATCTTTATTAATGTGCAACTTTTTAATTGTCACCCTTATTTTTGCAAGCCCTTAGTAATCTGTATTTTTTTCAATCTTATCCTCTTTCAATCGCGTTTTCGGTGGTCACGCTTTTGCTCATGCCTTTATTAGTGTAAACGATTACCAGAGCTCCATAGGTATTTAATAATTGATATTCTATTCAATATACAAACGTTTTACATTTCGGACAATAATGAAAAGAAATTGTAAATAAATTTAATGGGAACAACATAGTAAACTAACAAAGTAGTAATTATAACCTCAAATTCTCACAACTTCATTAATGAAAGTCTTCTGACGCAAACACATGACGAATATGTACATGTGAGTTAGTTCATTTACACACATGAAAACACAAATCCTCGTAAAATAATATACAGATAAGTACAATTTGGTTTGAGAAATATTTAAAATGGGGAAAAGTTATTCCCCGTATGTTCACACGGTTTTATTGATTTCTTCATACCGGTTTTCATAAGTTCTTAATTCTAAGCCAGTTATCAAAGTGACTTCTATTAATCCCAATATCACGAACCATTCGCTGATTGCACATTGATTGAATTCCTTGTAACCCTGAAATAAAACAAATCAGTGATGTGCATTATAAGTCTACAAATACCTAAATACTAATCACTTGGAGATAATCTCAGTTAAAGCAATTAGTCCCTTTTATAAATTTCGATAGAACAATGAGAAGACGGAGTTGATCTGAAAAATGTGATGTATTTGCGCTATACATTTCGAACAATCTGGTCACACATATACTTGTCAAGGCATTTTTATATGAAAATTAATAAAGGTCAATAAAGGTCAAACAAACAAATAAAAGTACAATTGAAAGCAGCCATCGAGAATACCTATTTTGCTTCTCAGTTGGTTGTGATTGGAAAGTCTAAGCATATGATTCCTAATAGACCCAAACAATGTACTAATGATTACGTCACATCCCATTGTATCTACCAATTTACATGTTTGTTTGAACACACATACATAGGGAGGAGCAATCGAACACTGCAATCAAGGGTCAATGAACGTGTGCCTGGATGGCTTCAAAATCATTGTGTGTCAAATGATCCGAGGTAGAAAACCAGGTTCATCGGTAGCAAAACACATAATTGAGACGGGGCACAAAATTAACATTAATACAGCATTTAGAATGTTGTATAGAAATTGTCAAGGTCGAATTCTTAAGTTTATTGAAGCCTTAGCTATTCGTAAATTTAGACCCCCCTTATGTGTACAAAAACAATTTGTCGTAACCTTGAATTTACCTTGGTAATCCTTAAGTCATTCTATGGCCTAGGATAACGCGACAATTTCTTATTCTTTCTCTCCCCTTAGTTATTTTAATTGTACTTTTATTTGTTTGTTTGACCTTTATTGACCTTTATTAATTTTCATATAAAAATGCCTTGACAAGTATATGTGTGACCAGATTGTTCGAAATGTATAGCGCAAATACATCACATTTTTCAGATCAACTCCGTCTTCTCATTGTTCTATCGAAATCTCAGTTAAGTTCATATGGGTGTTCTTTTAAATAAAAAGAGTCTTATGGTAAAAACGAACTCATAAAAATAATCGGGTAGACCAGCTAAGGCTTTACAAACACGATAGCTTTGTTTGTAGATGTTATACGTTTAAAGCGAATGGAGATTTTACCTCGATTATTTTTCACTTTGGCAATACATAGTCATTTTTCCGAAAACTTTGTTTCCTCACTATTTACTCAGTTCACGTAAGTATGGTGTTGAATACACGAGTGAAGAAACATGAAAAGCTTGAAGACAATGTGAAGTGTTTTAGTCATGAATTATAAAACCTGTTTGTAAATCTGTATGTGAATTTAATAGGGGTGAAAGTCAACTGTTCCAAATTGTATTAATTTAACTAGTATTTCTTTCAACACATCAATGGTGTGCATTTTCCTATGTTAATCAAATGCCTTGCATTTCCAAATTGATCCTACTGTGTAGATAGTTTAGATTTTTTCATAGAAACGAATCAGTAAATGTATACTGAATTTCTAGATGTTTCTGTCTTTCACCTTAACGCACACATTGGAAACTTCCTATGGTACCAGATAATAATTGAAACTGGAATGAGGAGTAGAAATCAAAGTGATAACACCCGCTTACATAAGCATGCATAAAACTACGGAAGCTTCAAAATCGACAACACCACAACTTCTTACTCTCCTAGAGGTAAACTGAAGTGACTTGGTTTTCCAGTTTGTGAATGGCAGATTCAATATTCTCCCATCTGAAACGGTTGTCCATGTTTGAAATATATTTTCATGTCACGACTTTGATCATTAAGCTAGATGTTTATGAGAACTACGTAATTCGATTTATTCAGGCGAAGCATTCGTGTTACTTCACCCGGGCTAGATTCTCACAAGTTGTTACGTGATATTGACTTATGTTTGGTCGAAATCTCTATTTATTGAATATTCGTATTTACGACAGGATTTGGTCTCTCTAAACTGTTTTGTTTATTTTATGTAAAGTTACATATATGTTAATGAGTAATTCGTTATACATTCATGGATTCCATTTTGTTAAATGTTTGAACGACGGTTTACAATATTGTTCAACGGAAAACATTAATCTACTAAATGAAATGTCAACTCATTTAATATACTGATTGTAAACACTGATATTGATGATCTGCACTCACCGGTTCGTTTTCCTTGATGTAAAACAGGTTTTCCGCCTGCAATACTAGTAGACCAGCTCGATTAAAATAAACAACTAGAGTACGGAAATACAAAGAAATAAATTCAAATGCTAAGTTATTTGACTTATTGTTAATGATACCAAGTAAGTAATGATACCAAAGTTTATCTGAAATAATATTTAATTTATACAGACCTATAGAATAATCTGTATACTTCTAACATGAACAGTCATCTAGAACATGTTCAGGTGTTGTTTGCTTAATGGTAAACAAACTATAGAAATAAAGAATATATAATACTGGTAAATGTTATTAGTAGAAATTTGGGTGAGGCGAAATTATGGAAAACGACTTCATAAATTAAAACCAGTTAAAATACATGTCAGTGTAGATTGGATTATTGATATCCATAAATATTAGTTGTTATTGTCATTTGAAATACAGAAGATTCGCTAAATGTTGTGTAACTTACAAGAAAAAGATCCGATGATCATTTGAAGCGAAACAATAATTCTAGCAAGTAGAAAGCATTTCCATAGACGAAAATTACCAACGATAAGTAAAGAACTCAATGGAATAGCGACCACATGGCAAATAAAATTAATCAACGTCAAATGGAAATGTAGTTGATTAGTATCTTTCATCTGCAATACAATAATCATAATTTGTTGGTTACTAGAGTACAGAATATTGTAAAATAATTAATGTCACATAAGAGGAAACAATCGCTGACTGAGAATTCCATTTTAATTATGGTTTAATTCTCTACTGTCTGTTCAATGAAAATACTTCGTGCATTTTATGTTCATCTGTGATCATGATCTGTCTGAAAGGAGTAAATGATACTTAGAAATTATACACATAAGCTCTTGACAATGTGACTTTAAGACGAGTTATGAGTTTACTTCCCTGTGTAAAATGTGAGGGCGTAAGTCTCTATTCACCAACTAATAGTGATACAAGGCATTGTTTTATTTTCCTGAATAGGTCTATGAGGCTATACAACAACGTAATTTCGTTCGAATATAACCGAAACACACTACGAACGTAGAACTAGTCATTAGTGTTGTGGGAGAACAGCTGAAGAGAGTACTTATTTACAACAAAGTGTCACAAATCTTTATCTTCAAAACAATGCCATAAACTCTGTCAGTAAATAACTATTATTATAACTCATATACATGTTTAAGTACATTATATAAGCATAGAACAGTGATTAATTTGTTGTTCTAAAAAATATGGTAATCTCATAAATCAAGATGTACAAAAGGAAGCAAACAATGTCAGATGTTTTGGACGGTTTCTTGACCATCAGTTTCAGTGATTGTAGTGTTTCTCACAACTGGTCTGAAGTAGTTACGGTTCTCTCCTACCAGGTGATTTGTTGCAGTACAGAAGTCGAACTTGACAACTGAGACAGAAATGAGGATTGTTGTGTAGGCACTATATACGACTGTAGTTTAGAGTGAACGGTATGATCAAACTCTACTAAATGTTTGACTACTAAGATTTATGTAACTGGTTTATTGGCTAATACTTCCCAACCAAAAAAGTCGATATCTGTTATAGCAAGTGATTCAACTAAGTCACTTGATTTTTCAAATAATATAAATGAACAATGTACAAGGTACGGATTACCATCTCAATTGTTTGACTTTCATTTCTCAATAATCTTACAAAAGAGTTTACTAGCTGGACGTACATTGAAGAATGATAACAGAACAATGCAAATTCCTGATATCGTATAAACCAATCCAACGAAGATGCATATACATGGACGAATTCCGGACTGGGATTTCTGTTTGAGTTTATTTATCATCATGAAGCACCAGAACCATTGACTTATAATTGCTGAAATTTCAGATAAACACTTGGTGAGAAACAATCGAGAGGAAAAAAAAGCGACTGCACTGAAACATAATGATCCAATAATGTGTTATCATCTATATCATAATTCATCCCACAATTTATTGCATTGAGTTTATTCACTCTCATATGACACTTCATAAATCTATGGAATGTGAGGTATTTTCTGACTTGTCGTCAGTGCAATATTGTCAAGGTGAAACTTTGATTACTGCAGCTGTCATTTAGTGGCTCGCTCTATTTATTGAACACAAATCCGCTGGACTGATTCACGTGAGAAAATTAAAATCGTAGTTATTTGTCAGAACGCTAATTATAAACAATTAGAACCTTGAAATCAATTTCTACGCGAATAACAACAATTAAAATGACCGACTAAACTTTAGAAATCCGATATTTCACCAGGTTCTTGAACTCATGCATATAATGCACCGTAAACCATCACTTATAGAATTTGTTCATCTCTCAACATGGAAAATGTAAACGCGTTATTATTATTATCATTAAAATTAATGACTTTGTTCAATATTATATTTTGGCACAATATAGAATTGTCAGCACAAGGTATTTCAACATGTTTCCGATACAAAGAACGATAACAGCACATACACATACGAAAGATAAGTAGTTAAACTACCTGGAATTAAATGAAATGTTTGTTTTTAAGAAGATATGAGTCTGTACATCTCTTGAATTAGAAATGTAATGAAGACTACAAGTTATGGACTAGGTTAGCTCTAACAACCTGTTCATTACATGGTGTATTTGCGATTGAATTCAACTGTTCTACTCAGTTAGTTTATCTGTATATATGATGAACATTTCTACTTAGTCTGGACAACAACACAATCATTGAAATGCTTAATAGCTGAATTCACGGGCTAATTAAAGCTAGACCACCATGAAAAACCTGAAAGCACTGAACGGCCGATACGTCCTAGTATGATATTCTTCAGTTTCGTGCACACCCACCAACTTGCCAACGAGATTCGAACCCAGGATCGTGGATTCGCACCTCTAAGGAGTTGAGATGACTCACTACTTTGAGGATTTGTATCCGGAGAAGTAAAAACCTAGGTCACAGTGAAACTTATTATTCCTCATTTGTAATGCATCATTCTCAACCAATACATATGCGCCACTCAAGTCAGTTGTTTGTGTGTGGGCGGTGATACTGACCAGTTGTCCAAACCGAAGCAGAAGAGGACTTCTATTATTACCTCTCAACAAAGTCTCTGAGTATAGTCTGATACATATTAGCTATTCTGACAGAGAGATGTAGTTCGTAACATCGTATGTTGATTGAAATCATCTAGAGAATTGTAGTTAACTTATTACTTAATCAACGAGAGTCAATGGTGTAGTTGAAAAACACAATCCAAAGTACAACACAAAAGATCTAAGTGTATAGAACATGTAATAAGACATGACGATTTTCGTTACTTTCTGCATGTATTCATATTTAAATAATGGAACTTGATATTAATTATTCTGAAAGCAAGTGTTTGTACAAACATGTATGGCTTTGGTTGTCATCTGTTCTAGATAGTGTTCAACACGTTTGTGAAGCATGTTACAATGATCACAGCATTAACAAATTGTCTCTGTGAATTGACTATCAGTAGTACTTCATTTCTATCACGCAAAGTCGTGCGAATGTAATTCCTCTATTTTGCATTGGCTACAATATACAACTACAAATTTTAGTAGAAATGTTAACAAGGATTCATAGTAATTTGATTTGAGATTTATACTAAAATATCTGCAACATGATGAATTCGACTTCACTTACTCATTACTCCATATGAACCCAGAAAACACATAATCATGTATTTTTCCGGTGAATAGATTCCGAATGAACTGGAAAAGCATAAAATTATCATTTGTGAATAGTTATATTGAATTGCTGTATACACATAATCATTAGATTTTAGGAAATAACCAAAATTATGGTCTGTTTCTAAACCTTCTTCATTTAGTGACAAACTATGTGAAACTCGAACTGCATTCCTAAATATCATAAACGACCACGTTTCTAATTGTCATCAGATCTTCTTTGTATTTTCAGATGATTATCATGAATGTGTTTTCACTAAACTAAAATAGTTCTCAGCATTCAAATCTCGGATGTTGTTCTACATTGATTTGTGGAGTGACTGTATTTCTATTCGGATTATCTATTTATCGTGTTTGAAAACCCATTCACTTGACATTTCGTAGGAGCGAAAATTGCTCTACACATTGCCATATCTCTTAAAAACATCTTAGTGTACTTCTTATGTGAATTTCAAAGATCCATGCTGTAATACTCGCTGAAAGTGAAAGGGGGTTTTCGCGAACTAAGCACCCTGAACATTCTGGCACCCAACCTGGTGAATTTCTCAATTCGTTTGTTCAGTTTGATTTAAATAGTTTACAAGTAGTGAGGCTATCACTAAAATGACTATCTACGTTATTCGGTCAATGTATCAAACTATAGAATACCTAAACTGTCTGAATAATATTCCAAGCGAATCCAGCTGTACCACTTTACATAGATGTCTAATAAACGTGTGTACACACATAGATACATTTCAAAATATTTCATGCTCACCTTACAAATGGAACAAATGGCTGTACATGGTCATAGGAAATCGCAACAACATATCTAACAAGAGAAGTTTTATGAAAATATTCAAATATCCGTTGATGAGATACGTCTATTTCATTAGACAAACTAATTTCCTCAATTTACATCAAAATAACTAGCAGTTTAACACCACTACTGAAAACATCATCACTAATCCATTCACAGTTCGATCAGCCTTCTCACTTTTAGACGTTTACCACAAACCGTTCACAGAATAATAACCAGTTTTTCTGTATCTGACAGAGATAAATGTCTTACTTGGCATTGTTTCCATTCATACAATTACTTTTGTTCAATAACACATTGAATGTCTGCATAAATTCGCCTTTATTTACCATAAAAGTGATAATATTTGGCTTGTAATGGAAGGAAGACGAAATAACAGAACCGGATGCTATGCACAGCTGATAAAACTCTCATTATTAAGACAAGTAAAGAGAATTTTGTTATTACCCTAAAACTGAGCTAGGGAACTACTATTCATCATTATCAACATCGTTTTTTGATGAAGTTATTCATATTTATGGTAGAATTGAACTTCACAGTTATTTGTCTCCAACCGAACGATTTTCTTATTCAGTTACTTATTAACGTTTATGATAATCTGTTCTTAATATTTAAGCTGTTGTGTAATCGCATTTTCAGAGTAATGACCTTGTCATAAATTATCGTCTTCCAATAAGCACAGCATCGTGTTCCTCTAGAAATGTGTTAAACGAAATTCAATGTCAAGTCTACATGTGCTTATTAGCACTACTAAAATTCAGTTCCCAATCGAAAGCAAAGCAGACATGATGGTTAATTCTTAAACCATTTATGTGATAACGAATACATGAAACTAACCAATAAACAACCAGTGTATGCATTAAACAAAGAGTTGATTATACTAAACTTATATTAATCAGCATGAAAAAATTTATTAATTCTTCTAAACTTACATCATGGGCAACCAAAATATTGCGTGGAAAACGGCGAATAATGGAACTCGAGAAGGATAAAATTTACACAATAGCATTGTTGGATTCAACCTCAAATGAAAAGAAATATCACGATCCTATTTATCCAGCATCTGAGATTTTGTAAATGTTATATGTAGTAGTCAATGCCAACGTTCCAATGTGATCTAATAGTGTAAATTTCAATTGGTTGAATCGTCTAGTACATGGACTTCCGATTTCTATTTCTCAATGTTAAATGTCAATAACTAAACATCAACTTATTCTCTATGAAAATGCGTTTCTCATTTCCAGCTGATCTCTTCAAATAATAGAAATGTCAAACTTTTTCTATCATGTGAAATTTCAACATGTTAATTTGTATGAGGCATATCGACCTCATCCTGTGTACATGGATTAATGTAACATGTTCAAGTGAACTGTTTTCATTATTCGACTCACGAGGAATGGTTTCAGACAATGCAATAATTATCCGATATGAGGTACATTTGTTAATTGTAAATAAAAAATTGTTCAAATTACAGAAGGGTATGGAAAAATACATGATTTAAAGCCAACTGAAATGCATACGATTTCAAAACATCTCATGATCGGTAGGAGCTGGAAAATTTATGATCAATAAGGGAAACGTCGTATTTTCCATTACAAGGCCTTACACATTATTCATGTAATTTCAGTTTTACTAGTTTTGTTACGATTTGCGATGAAAGAACTGACATCTGAAATGCTGAATTTCAGTATTCTGTAATCAGTTCTACGAAAGTGATATCAAGGAATATTTTGTTCCCTACACAAAATGTACAGATTTTCACGTTAGGAAATTCATTCTAGAGTCTGATATTTGACTATACTGTAAAGCACACCAAACGTCCTAATGATCTATATAATTTCAGGAAATAACACATTCCCAATTAATTCGTTTGATTCATCTATACTCGTTTTCAATCAATGATAAAATGAGAAGAAACAAAAGAACACCATAATATGTGAATCCGAATTTCTCAAAGTTACAATAATTAACTCCTCATTAAAACTAACATAGTTCCCATCAAATGTTCGGAATAGAAAGGTGAACATCTTGATTGGAAACTATTATTAAATCTGGAAAACACAACTTACGAGATGATTACCAAAAGTCCTCTTATTTAAAATGAATAACTATCAATGTAATACCGTACTAATAATCTAAATTATTTACATTAAGGTGAGAATTATTAATTGACATTAAACATTTAATTCGAGCACATTAAAAATCAAATATCATTATAATTGGTTTCTACAATTCAGATATAATCCATTAATAAGATCAATTAAAAATTACGCAAACAAGCATTAAGCATTATTCACTGGAAATTGTTCACTGGCAACTAACGATTTTTCAACGGAAAAGTTCAGCACAACAATTTCGTTCTCATTATATTCAACTTGTGTTATTTGATTGCAGTTTATAAGGAGAAGTTGAATTAATTTATATTTCAGATAGGACTGTTTAGAACTAGTCCACAGCTAAAGATGTTTCGTAAACAATGTCAGATGGTTCAACATCATTTACGGTCGAATTATATTTAGTGATCTTATTAGCTGACTCAAACTACTGAAAAATAATAAACAGTTCACATATATTGTCATTGAACGATAAACTCTTTTAAACTAGTGTTATTACAATTTGGAAAGTCAGTAATTTCACTCACGAAAAGTGGTATTTGATTTCACACCCCCTTTTAACCGTAATGTTCAAAGTTTGTCTACTACTTATTCTTGAGCGCTTATTCACTGCTCATTTCTCATCTTTCCAATTCAACAATAGAAGCTGTTCCTGAAACACCGCCTAACCAATCAGTTGTCAACTCGTCATTTGGTGTTAGTACGAGTTACACTGGATAGTCTTCACCACTGAAAATACTGTTGGTCCACCGCTTAATCATTGCGTGCTTACAACACAGTTCGACTCTTCCAAACAAGCATCGTTGTATGACTGAAATTGATGAAGAATGCCAACTCAATCTCACTTTTGTACTACACATCACCCAGTTCGAAACAACTTAAAACCCTCTCACTATAAAGAGACTTGAAAATGGTTATTTCTATATTCGTTATCAGTAGTGACCCATTTTCAATTGAATCCTATCTCAAATTAATATGAAACAATGAGAGAGATTATTGTGTAACGTTTTCTGTTCTATTTGTGTTTAGTTGCGGCATCATTGATTGGATTATATGCATTCATACATAGTTTATCCTGAACTTTTACTTATGTGCATTTTTATACAAGAATGCTTTATTATCTCTATTTACTTATTTCACTCTGCCCATTTTCACATTTCCGCACATAGTTGTTTAATGAAATCATGATACATGAAACCATTTCTGTAGTCTCACCAGCCTATGTGAGAAGAATTCACGTTTCGTGAACTATATTAAAATGTAGCTTCTCCGTTATGTATTTTAATTCTCATATTGTCGGTGATATTAATAATGATCTGGATGTTTTGGCTATGAAGCTGGTTGTTTTTATGAACAAAGTCATCTCCACATACTTCGAAGAGATGTAAACTGTAGGAGTTTCTTGACAGCTGATTTACAAGTCGTTTAGCTGACTTGGAATTAGGTTGGATGTAATCATAAATGCATACCCGTTGTTTGTATGTTCGTTGTAGTTGTTTTCTCTATTGACCTGAACTCCGATCGTGCAGATGTTAATCCGTTAATTGTTGGCTGATCGACTGTGTCAATTTCGACATGTGAATTGACTGATTATTGAGTAGAGTTCCTACTTGTAATAACTGGGCTCTTAATATGCCTAAAATCTACAAATTACGTCGTTGCTCTTGTGGTCGTCATTGAGGTAGAGTCTAAATGGAGCTAAACTGTAGCAAAATGTAAAATGATAATATCTGTCTAGTCATTATCAACATTTTACTTTACCGTGCTTGAAACTTGTAATATTTACCCAGTACTTCCAAACTGTAACCACAGAAATAGATTCAAGTCGAAAGTAATATCAAAAGATAATCTATTTTCATCGATAATTTGTGCAAAATCAAAAGATGGAATGTACACACAAAAAATGTATAAACATGTAAGTTATGTAGAATCTGAACTCTACATCATATAAACTGTTTTTGTTTTTGTAACACTTTCTTCATGTTTCCGTAATTCCAAACCAGTTATCAAAGTGATTTCTATAAGACCGAATATACAGAACCACTCACTGATTGCACATTTATTGAATTCTGTGTATCCCTATTTCGAAACGAAAAATTGTTTGATGTTATTGGAAACAACGAAGTAAACATTAATGATACTGTAAGAAAGTTAAGAATCCGTGTTCAAGTTAATTTTAGCAGTTCTAGATCAAATAGAACAAAGTGAACATGAAGTTCAGATGTTGTTAACTTTCTGTGGTTTCAGAAAATCCATAAATATTTTCGCGAACAGCATTTTGTCAGTTGAATTCTGGATGAACACACCCATATCATGTTGGTTGATTTTATCACTTCATCACAAATGGTATCAGTTCACTTGATAACAATCTGCATCTGTCGATTTCGTTCAAATCAATTATTAATTATTTCTATCTGTTGCAGAAGTTAAAGTAAGAATTGCAAAGCACGAACAGCATTCGTTCACTTAAACAACATATAGAATTCAAAACAAAACTGTCTGCAAGCCAACATCAAATTCACATTCTTCAATACGAACGTCAAGATAGTTCTACTATACTGAGCTGCAACTTCGAGAACCACCACAACAGTCATCAAACATTTACGAGTATTTATAAACAATCATCTACTCGAAATACTCTATATCTGTTTGTCGGATACCATCCGCAAGAGTGTATTGTGGAAGAGAACGAGCCACCTTGCAGTTGAGGATTGAATTAGAAAAGGATGCTAGATGTGGATAGGATATACATTACGGAAATCCTCAGACTGCATCTCGAGATAAGCGTTAACTTGGAATCATGAAGGGAAACAGAAAAGTTGAATTCCAAATAACGCATTGCGTCGGGAATCGGAAGCAGACATCAAAGAGTGAAAATCGATTATAAACAAGTGGAAAGTATTGTCATGGATAGAGTTGGACGGATAATCGTCATGGACAGCTTATGCTCATCCACGTCGTTGGGTAACAGGAGTAACAGACATATATGGGTAATTTCCTTTTATTCGCTTATTGTTCTCAACTCATAACAGCAATCAACTATCCCACATCGCGTAACAGTAATTGCTTCGGACACCTCCATTCACAACATCTATACAATCATATTTTCAGTATAAGTATTAATTTTATATTGATGTAGCCTCATCATTATCACTGTTTTATTTACAATCTTTATTTGGCATCACAATACAACTGTCGTTACCAATCCACGATTCAGTGAATTGACTACTAATTTTCAGCAATGTTTACAACTATTTAATTATGAATTCTTGAGATCAATGAGATTTTAATGCATAAATGCATCAACAGAAATTACCTGTCCACTTATTCAAGTCATTAAACACATGTATTTACAGTTGATAATGTACACTTACCGGTTCATGTTCCTTTATGTAGTAGATGTTCTCCCCAGCGAACACTAACAGTCCAGCGCGATTGAAATAAACAACTGGGGTACACAAATGAACACAGAAAACACGGAACATCCATTAAACTGGTTTAAGCAGGTTACACAACAATGCATTATTATGCAAGTGAGGTGTAATATTGAAGAACCACGATTTTCACAATGAAACCAAATAGAGATACAAATACACATATATTATTTAATGGGATTTCGATATGTCACTATTTCCATACACATTCATATCTAACTAGAGATTGTTCCTACAAAGTTATCAGCTCAGTCTGAATGATATAGATGAGTGAGATAAGGTTGAGGATGCTTCTCACTTACAGAATATCATCAATCAGCAAACATAAAGCACATTACAGAATGCCTGAAATATGTGACTGTAAACTGTAAACACGATTATCATGACACGTTTTATTCAGTGTGTTTGAAATTTCGATACATGATATGTAACTTACAGAAATATGATCCGAGAAATAACTGAAGTATGACAATAATCCTAGCAATCAGAAACCATTTCATCGGACGATAAACCCAAAAGACAAGTGCTGAACCCAGTAGCATCGCAGTTGCTTGGCAAAAAAAATTGACCATAGTTAAACGATAGTGTAAGCGATTGGTATCTTTCATCTGAAACACAAAGAATAAAGTGCTTTGGTTACTATATAACACTTCTGTAAAATTCAGATAACTAATGTTCCATGAGCATCGTTTTGAGGATTAGTTATTCGGAAATGGCGAAATAATGTGACTAACTGATTACGAGATAAAATAATCCGAATGAATTTGTTACTTAAATAATGGAAGACATTATTCGTCATGCTGATGACTATTACGTTATCTTTCTCACCGTTGTTATTGTCACTATTATTATCATTAAAAAAATCGTCATTATTATTATCATCAGTCAAGTGAACATATTCCGTACAAGTAATTAGCATGGCTGGGATCTCCGGTCAAACGTCTTGACTACACTACCATAACACATGACTCAACTAAATGTTTATTTGCTCAAATCATATCAATCACTGTCTGTTATGATACTAATATTCCGTAATGGTCTTTCAACAAGTTTAATCAACTAAACGTACATTAAAGATAGACAGCAGAACAATGCAAATTCCTGATATGGTATAGAGCAGTGCAATAAATTTGCAGATGTATTGACCGATTCCCAAATGTATTCCTTTTTTAAATTTCTTTCTCACCATAGATAACCAAAACCATTGACTGATAGTTGCTTCAATTAAAAATGAAAAGTAGTTGAAGAACAGTGGGAAAATAAATACGGTTCAGTGTAATGCATTTCAAACCTGAATCTACCAACTTCTAGTTTCGACTATCAAATTGTTGGTTGCTGCCGACTAATTCCACTGTTAAATGTAAGAACACTCTGTGTGATTACCGAGTAGTCGGTTCATATTTTCTCTTCCAGTTCCTTTCACACTTGTTCCGCCTCACACTCCCTCAACATATAACCTACCTTCAGATTATTGACAAACCTACTCAACGCTAAACGCTACATAAGATTCCAATTCAAGAATGCAATACGTTATTAATATCTAGTAAATTATTACTTGTCGTATCCGGTGTTTCTATCATGGTGTGTAATATGAATTGGTTTGATAAGGTATTTACGTTGTCATTGGAAGATTTCAAAGCAATCGGAAATGAAGAGTCTATCGAAATTTGTTGCTTTTCAAAATATGTAATTCATCATCTGCTTACTACACTAGATAAGAGAAACATTTTTTCTATATTAGTTCTTTGCACGTGTAGCAAACATAATGTATTTCGTGAAACGTCACTAAGCCGTCAAGTCCATCTACTCTTCCACATCACGTGCATTGGTTGTACCATAAATCACTACTACTCAAGTGTTCACTAGGACGTTTATGTAGAGAAGTAGTCACATTAGGAGGAAATCACATAAACCGCAATTATGCAACAAAATTAGCCTTACTGGAGAGAGAATTTATTACAAAAGCCTCGATTCTCACATTACTCTGTAGTTTACTAGAAGAGATACTCACTATGCATCAGCTACGCACAACACAAAACGGATGGTGTTTTTAACGCCTATTCTTTCAACAGACAAACATTTTGAACTATAGATGTTCTGGTTTGATTTTACAAAGAAGAAGAATCAGTAGACCGAACAGTGTAAGGTGATCGGGCTGAACTATCTGTTAGGCGATCACAAACACAGTATCTGAGAAGCTTACAAAATCACTGATAAATGCTACACGATGAAAGTGGATTTTCCCATTATACATCCAGTCTTTAAACGTCCATCATAATTCAGTATTATATATAACTTCAGTTTTGATACTTAGATCACTTGGACTCAAACGCACACTACAACATTCGCTAACGAGATTGAGTCTTCTGTTCACTCCTATGCTAAACATACTTATACACAATACAGACTAACACTTTACTTTGGCTTGGACACTAGAGTTTGTGTGGAGTTTGGTAGCCTCCCCATTAACGCTAGTATTTGCTGTTTGGAACTTTATGGCAAGCTTTTTTCAAACATTATACAGAACTTGTAAATAATGTAGTGACATAATATGATGATTTTAAGACAAAAATACACGGTTTATTGAGAAATGTGGTGGTGTCAGCTTTAACTCAACTACTAAAGATCTCTTTAGCGGGAAAACTAGTGTGAGTGGAAAAGTTTCTTGCCAAAGAGAATTAATCACAAACTTCCATACTTCCTACAAGTGTAATTGTGGAATTGGAGTCAAATGTTACAAAGACGAATTTCATGGTTTGGGTGAATATCTCCAGCGACGTACATAGAATTGTAATTTTATAGATTGTCAAATGCTTCATGATATACGAATCACTGTGGATCAGCGACTAACCCTAACAATCTGTAGTAAGAGAACACAAACAATACTTAATTCCATTTCTTTACTACACATATTGTATTCAGCTTAGTAAAATCATATAGCTCTAAACACTGATATGCACTTTAAAAATTTTTGATATTATGTCATTTTGATTGTCAATTATGCACAAAGTTATAAAGTTTAGTTTACTTACACATTAATCCATATGAACTCATGATAATCGTAAACAAGTATTTTTCTGGTGGGTGTATACCAAGAGAACTGTAGAAGTGCAAAGTTATTATTTGCTACACATTTTATTGCATTATATTACATACATATAATTTGAGTAGTAGAAAACAATCAAGTAAATACATTGCATTTTCCTCGAAATGCTAATTACGTAATGTAAAGTTGCATTGTACTGGAAACTATAAAAACGACTCCATTTTATGGAATTACAGTCAATGTTGGTTTAATGACTGGCTTCACTCTTCATTAAAGTGCAAGTTACCTTTTGATAGATTGTTTTTCTCGGCATAGTTGACTTAAGAATTATTATGAGGTTTAGTGTATTGTCAGTTCAGGTCGTCAGCTAGTTTCATTGAAGTGAACTAGAATAAATGATTGTTATTTTCTAATTCATTTCCATATATATTTTATTTTGCTCAATCCTAATCCCATGAAATCTTCGTTCCGTCAAGGTATTTAGAACCTTTAGACACTACTTTAATTTCACTGTCAATGGCACTTCAGTCAGTCAGTCAGTCAGCTACAACGTAGGACCAGGCCCATATATGCATCGGTCCAGGTTGCCAAACCTCATTAGCACAGCAAGATGAACAGCAGATTCATAGGAGTGGTTAGGTCAAAGGTGGTAATATATAAAAGAAAGATTGCATATAAGGAAGAAACAATTAGTTCGTAGAAAGAAAGATATGAGGCAATTTTAATCTCTTAGTTTAAGGGAAGACAGGGAGTGTATACACCGACGCCATTGTGGTCGATTCTGAGCCATGTCACCAAGAGTCTCCAACCATCGGTTACGAAAGTCACGCGGACCTCAACCAAGTAGTCTGCATCTACCAACATGGCTCAGACTAGAGGTTAGTGACTTCAAGCACTGATGCCATGTTTTGGTTTGGCCGCCCCTAATTCTCTTCCAACCATCTCTAACACCCGTTAGCATTGTACGACGAGGTAATCGGTGTTCAGGCATACGTAACACGTGGCCCAACCATCTCAGTCGATGAAGATTCACAACTTCATCAACTGATTTACCATCATTTCCTAATACCCTGCGTCTAACCTCACTATTACTTACCCGGTGATCCCAACAGACGCCAGCAATATTTCTAAGGCATCTGTGGTCAAATACTAGTAGCTTGCGGGTGTCTTCTACTCTTAAAGGCCATGTTTCGCTGCCGTAAAGTAAAAAAGAACGGACTGCCGCGCAGTATACTCGTCCTTTAATTGATAGACGGATATCTCGCCTTCGCCAAAGGTGAAGTAAGTTGGCAAAAGCCAAACGAGCCTTTCGAATCCGTGCTGAGATTTCGTCCGATACCAGCCCATTAGGGCTGATCAGACTTCCAAGATAAGTAAAGTTGTCAACGCGTTCGACCACTTCACTCCCTATCCTTAGTTCAGGTGTTGACGCAGGCCAGTCCCGAAGCAACAACTTGCATTTAGAGGTGGAGAAGCGCATTCCAAACATTCTGGCATTGTTGCTTAGTGCTACCAGAAGACTCTGCATTTTATCAGCGTCTTCACCAAACAGGACTATATCATCTGCGTATTCTAAGTCGATAAGTGGACCTCCTGGAAGGAGATCAATACCCGAGAATTCAGTCGACGAGAGTTATTTTCATCAGTAGATCTATGATGAAGTTAAACAAAAATGGAGAAAGTGGACAGCCTTGACGGACACCACTTGAGGTTGCAAAGGCAGATGACAGTTCGCCATAAGCTCTCACTCGACTAGTAGTGTTCGAGTAAAGAGCCTTTACAAGGTTTATGCACTTCTGGGGTACGCCGTTCAATGACAGACACTGCCACAGAATCTCGCGGTCTACCGAGTCAAATGCTGCTTTTAAGTTAAGAAAGACCACCATTGTCGGACGTCGATAAGTATGCCTGTGTTCTAGAACCTGACGAATGGTGAATATGTGGTCGACGCAGCCACGACCAGGTCTGAAGCCAGCTTGATTCTCTCGTGTTTGCAGTTCACGAGTCTTAGTTAGGCGTCTGATAATTATCGAGGCTAGTATTTTAGATATTATATTAGTTAAACTAATCCCTCTGTGGTTGTCACAGGATGATTTTGACCCTTTCTTATATATTGGGACGATAAGTGATTGTGACCAGTTAGATGGGATAACGTCTAACTCCCAGATCCTAGCTAAAATATTAGTCAACCTAATCGCTAAAATTGGACCACCATCCTTAAAGACCTCTGGAGCCAGTCCATCTGGACCAGCTGCCCTTCCTCGTTTCAGATTAACTATAGACTTTTGAACTTCAGCAAGAGTTGGGGGACCTACTTCAATGTTCCATTCACACTGTCTGGGAATGGAGGGTAGTTGTAGAGTCGCTGAACTGTTCCCTAAAGTGTTCCGCTCATCGTTCTAAACGTCTGGACTGAGAGTAGATTAGAGTATCGTCTTTTTCCGAAATAATCTCACTTACACTTGACTTATTAGTTCCAGTTTCTTTTATCAGTCTGTAAAGCTGTCTTGTGTTCCCTATAGTCGCCGCCTTTTCCATCTCTTTTGCTTTCGTTGCCCACCACTGCTCACGGTCGTTTCTTAGACTTTTTCTTAACCCAGATATGATTTGTTTACGCTCTTCATCATGTTCGGAACCTGATGGGACGAGTTTGCGAGAATCCATCAGTGTAATAGACTTTGAAGAAATCCACTGGTTCTTTGTAACTCTGTGGTTTAAGTCACTAATAGATTTCATTGCTGTTTCCACAGCTGTTTGTATATCTTTCCAAGCAACATCTGGGTCAGCCTCGTTTTCAGAACTTCCTAAGTGTGACCTCAGTTGTTCCCGGAACCTACTTTTGGTTTTCTCGTTACTCAACTCAGTTCTAATCGGTCTTTTTGATGTGGCTTTTTTGCGTCCAGTGAGGCGCAAGCAGATGCGTGCCAGTATTAGGGCATGGTCGGAGTCCAAGCAGGTACTCCAGAATGAGCGACAATCTTCTACCGACCCTCTCCAACGATGACTGATGGCAATATGGTCTATTTGAGTCCATCGTTGGTTTGGTGTAGGGGGTCGCCATGTTAGACGATGTCTTTCCTTATGCTTAAAGTTTGTGTTTGCTAAAAACAAACGATTGTCTGAGCACAGTTGCAGCAGACGATCACCATTATCTGTTCGTTGTGCCAGAATACTAAAATACCCGCCTAAATGCCTTTCTGTTTGGTTTAAACTACCTATCTGGGTATTAAAGTCACCTGCTACGAGTAGTATGTCTGAACGTTTAGCTTTCTGAAGAAGTTCAGATAGCTTTCTGTAAAATTCATCTTTCATTTCATCTGAGCTGCAGTCGGTGGGAGCGTAGGCAGAAACGAAAAAAGGCAACGACGTGTGTCCCTATCCTTCCGAGTTCTTACGGAGCCGTTTAGCCGAACAGCACATAGACGACTGTTGACGGGGATTCAATCTAACAGTGCTTGTTCCGCCCTCATGCTTAGTGCTATCCCTACTCCTGCCAGTCCACGAGAGCTGGCCATCGGGTCACCAGATACACGGAGGGTGTATCTCGTTGGCTCTCCGTTTTGCCAAGGTGAGGTCAAGTGAATGACCACACTGGGATCTTGTATGCGTGTTTCGGAGACACAGCATACATCAATGGTACGAGATTCTAGGGTTTTAGCCAAGGAAGCCTGCTGACCGATTTGACATAGGATGCGTACATTGAAGGCTTCAATATGTAGTTTGGAGCGAGGTTTCAGTAGACCTGGGAGAGTGTTTTGAGCACTAGAATCGTTGTCTATGGTGACACTTGAGGGGGAAGCCGAAAGAGGAAATTTAGACTTGAAAGTCGATGTAGGAGGAATAATAGGAATTGAAAAGGGAGGTTGATCATGAATACAGTGGTCTTGAGTGCTGTTAGAGGTATGAGGGCGGTTATCACTTCCTGGTTGCCCACACCGTGGAAAGGTTGCTCTGGAGGTACTTGTGGGATTGTGTTAACCAAGAATTTTCAAATTGGAAATCGACTGAATATTTAAGAGGTTTTTCAGAATAGTTTGAATGAATGCCAAATATCTAAAGTTCTTCTACAACTGAAGAGAGAATAACAAATGTCTAATGCTAACTACACAGACATCGTTTCACGTGGTATGGGAAGATATAAATAATATTTGACATAAAAAAATAAATTTTAAGTTATATGATTCAAAAGATAAATTTATTGACATTTTAACTGTTAGAAGATAAAGATACCTTAGAAGTTATCGTGACTGTTAGTTTGAACTTAATGACATTCACTTCATATTTATCATACTTACTTACCAACCATCATGCTTACTTAATTATTTACACAATTACGCCAATTACCCTAGTTGTGGAGGAGAATAGGCTGACCATGACGATTATCCATCCAACTCTATCCATGACAATACTTTCCACTTGTTTATAATCGATTTTCACTCTTTGATGTCTGCTTCCGATTCCCGACGCAATGCGTTATTTGGAATTCAACTTTTCTGTTTCCCTTCATGATTCCAAGTTAACGCTTATCTCGAGATGCAGTCTGAGGATTTCCGTAATGTATATCCTATCCACATCTAGCATCCTTTTCTAATTCAATCCTCAACTGCAAGGTGGCTCGTTCTCTTCCACAATACACTCTTGCGGATGGTATCCGACAAACAGATATAGAGTATTTCGAGTAGATGATTGTTTATAAATACTCGTAAATGTTTGATGACTGTTGTGGTGGTTCTCGAAGTTGCAGCTCAGTATAGTAGAACTATCTTGACGTTCGTATTGAAGAATGTGAATTTGATGTTGGCTTGCAGACAGTTTTGTTTTGAATTCTATATGTTGTTTAAGTGAACGAATGCTGTTCGTGCTTTGCAATTCTTGTTTTACGTCTGCATCATATCCTCCTTGTTCATCGATTATGTTGCCCATCTCAGCTACGTGAATGTCCCCACATCTAACACAGATTCTTCATCAAATGTGATTGTGTTGGTGTTGTGTATCAGCTGTATTGTATTTCAGAAACATATTTACCATTCATAATACAAATAAAATAAACTAATCCATTTCTTATCATACAAATATTTACATGAATTTATTTTTGTTCAGTGAGGATTATCAAATCATATTGGTTACCTCAAAAATGGAACAAATGGTTGTGCATGATCGTTTGATATCACCACAAGATACCTGATAAGAAAAAGAGTAAAGTTATGAGAGAATGTATCATATTTTCAACTGTCTGTTTATGAAATACATCTGTATATTCACGAAAGTATTTCTCATCTCAGACTATTGAAAAGCTTTAATATTGCGTTTCTAATTATGACGGTAATATTATCGATTGAATAACGAAATTCTACAACATAATAATTTTTAGTTTCGAAAAATATTACTTAACTGGGTTGAAAGGCAACTTTTACTATTCTTTGAATTTATTAGAATTCGTCTGTATTTGGTTTTTTGTGGATATCCTTGGAACTACTCTTATGATTCACCTATAAATTAATAGGACAATCTTTATTAGTATGATTTCCATAGGTGTATAATTTTCAGAATAGTGATTGATTTATTAATAATAATAGTTTATTTCGTCGAGCAGATCAAGTTACACGACCAGCAAAACTATAGCTAGTGACGTGAATTGTTCAGTGAAACTTAACAACTGAATGTGCATGGAAATATGAATAAGTTATCAAGCGTTTAGGCAATTAATGCTTGGGCCAGTTTGTGAATAGTGAGTAGGCAGATAATGCACACCATCATACACACCCGTTCATATAAGCATATGGATATGAAAGCTCAATATGTGATTATTTACGGAGTAGTGAGTCATAAATAGAAGTTTATTTCATTTGTGAAAAGACCGATACACAGATAAAACAGCACTATGAACTCCATGACTTAGTGGATAACGTTTTGGGTGTTCGAATCGAAGGGCACTATGGTTGAGTCTGAGAGTAGGAATTAACATTGACGTGTCGCGTACATTTTATTGATGAGTCCTAGATATTAGGAAACACAGATCATGGATATGATTGTGAATCGTTCTTACACTTGCTTAAACATATAATAATACTAATTGTCTATCCCAAATTAGTTGGAAATATTTAGCTTATCTGCAGGTGTATAAACCAGTGTTTTGATAAGTATACTATTGGTTAAATGATTTATCTCCGATTATAGAACACTGTTTATTGAAGATAATTTACATTAGATAATATTTAGATTGTATGGAATGTGAAATCCAAATTATCAAGGTGATACACAATAAGTGCATTACGCTACTAAGATGTACTATGAAAAAGTGCTTAAACCAGATATTCCTTCAATCGATATAGTTAATTATTTTATGTGACTACATTACTACATATTTTCATAATTTAACTCTGATCGCTGGTTACAGTTGACCTATGAAGGAATGCAAATCAAACTGCATATTAGAATACTTTTTGTAAAGATGATAGAATTATAGAGATAGTGAAACAGATCGCGTGTAAATTATTATTAGTGTTGAAATAAAATGAAGAGATTGTTCAAATTTGAAGTATTAGTTGATGGAAATCAATAAGAAGTTAAGCAGTAGTAGAAGTTAAATTCAAATTATTTTTTAATGGTCGTTATTATATGCTGCTAATGCTTTAGGGGCACGGTATTTGACTCCAGTATTATTGTATGATTGATTGTTATCGAAATATACATGTCGGCTCTCCTCATATATTATTATCGACTTAAAACGCATCAATGAATAACGGAATTAAATAAGCCAAATACCAGAATGGACTTTGAATAAGAATATTTTGTGCAAGCGTTGATCGGAACAGACAATCAGAGAGACGTAGCAAAGGAAGAGATGAACAGGGAATGAGAGGGAACGAAACGAAACGAATTGTCGCGCAGTTGAGTAGGCACAAAAGCCAACTCGATTCAACCAAGCGTGAATCGATGTTTATAGTCAAACAAAAATAAGTTAGAGATTTGTGATGAATAGGATGAGAAGTGCACACACATACGCTCATATAAAAACAGTCAAGTGAATAATTAACAAGGTCAAAATAAATTGGCTTCAGATGAAACTAGCACCAGCTGTGTGGGCTTAACATAGCAACCGACACTAAATACTGATTGCATATCAAGTATTTCGACTCACATAATCTAAACAGGGATAATTTTTTAAGAACACGACATTTATTTTAATCCTCCTCTCCACACTCACACATCACCATCCACCCCTATCCTCTTCCCGTCAGTCAAAAGGGTCATTTCAGCCGGTCATTGAAATACGTATTATCGGACCCCTAAATGTAGTGAATTTCGTCCGGCAATATCAATTCTAGTCAAAGGTGTTGTCAGTTGTGTATTTTTTAAACAGTGGGGTCGGTTTATTTGGTGAAGAGGCGTACGTTAGTGTAGGATTTTCAACATAAACGGAACACCTGAGACAAATGAACACTAATGAGAGTGTACCTTTCTGCCATTTTAATAACAATAGACAGTCATCAAAAACCAAATGATTTTTCTTCAAAATAAGTCTGTTAAAGGAAATGTCACCGTCAGCGACCAACAACTCCTCAAGTGACACATGGGTTTGTCTCGAAGTAAATTCTTTATCCATAGGTCGAGACAGCCTGTTCGTAGTGGTTGTGAATCCTATATATTTGCATGCTCGGATAATCGAAGGCTCTTATGCAGTATCCAGATGGCCACTTCATCATTATCACGAGTCGCTGTGTATTGATAAACCAAGCGTTCATTAACCTAGAAATTCCAATTATTCAATGCACAAACCTAGCACAGTCGCCTTAAGACTGTTCACTTTCAAACATATTTCACCAAAAACACAAATACCATCGTTGGGTTTATTTTGTGAAGAGAATTTATTATTAATTTTCATCAATAAACATGATGAAATTCACTGACACACTGCACAATTTATTATGATGAAAATCAATCATCATCTTAGAAAACAGTTTTACAGTATCACAGTTTTACAGGTTTATCATGGCTACTGAGTGCAGCAATGTATTTTAATTCAGAAACTTAGAGTAATCATATGGTATAACAAGTAAAATGTCTAAGGTTGTTTGACCCTGTTTGTATCTTTAAATCTATTCTGTTCAGAAATTTCGAACTACATTTAATTAGACTTAGAGTTCTCCCTAATTCTCACTGGTTTTCGCGTTTTGACCGTTTCCTGGTAAAAATCACTTTGTTCAACATTTGAGTGTACGAAATATATCAGGTGGCACTACATAAAGCCCATAGTCGATCAACTTATGTTGTCACTGTACACGAATTTAGGCATAATTCCATTATCTTTGTAAGCATTATCGTCGAACAATCATTCAGTATAAGTTTGTGTATTGGTTGACAGAAAATCAGCTATTGAATCTCTTCGGTTAATCAGGTATTCACACTATTTTCTATAAAGCTTAAGAGGAAATTTAATAGGGATTCTGTGTTAAACTGTGTTCTGTAATATATACTATTCTAAACTGAATCTGTTTAGTAGATTATCAGAAATTATGGTGTCATTCAATTCTAACAGAAAAATAATTGTGTATAGAACATTCTTTACTTACCCTATGGGTAACAAGAACAATGCATAACACACTGCGAATATGGGTAATTGAGATGGATAGAATTTGAACCAGACCATTTTCCAACTTGATTATAAAGAGAAAAAGTGGCACTAAATATTTAGCTGAAAACCAAGTCATATGCATGCGTTACATAGCATAGAGTGTAAAACAAGCTGACCAATGAATTAAAAGTCAAATAATAAGATTCTCTCCAACAGATAAACCTACTATTGATGTGAAACACTGTCACACATGCATCTGTAGACTCGTCGAATAATCTTTCACAGTACTGTATTTAAAAATGGTCAACCAGTAATATAAGCTACAAAATACAGGATATTTTTGAACTTATATGTAAACACACATAACTCAAACCTGTAACATACTGTTGAGCTGTTGTGTACCCTGTTCCAGATGGTCTGACAGTGAAGGTTTTAATTGTCCTCCTCAACAGAATCATACGCACACACTTCTAAATGCTGTAAACCAATAGATTTTCTCCATTTCTCCAATTACTGAAAGCATGTAAAGTCACCTACAACTTATTTATCAAACTGCTGGAATCCGATTGCATTCGGGACTTGGGGTGTGATGTTGGGAGATCTGCGAAAACTGAAACTGACAATCTGACTTTCACCCATTGAACAAGACATACATGTTGAGACTGTTCTTCGCGCAAATTGAAAAAGACAAAGGAGACATAATACACAAACAATTACCTTTCTTGCTCAGTCACTCAGCTATCAAAATATATATCTGTTTTGTAAATGCGTCTGGTACCAATCGGGTGAGACGATTTGACCTAAGTAATGGTAACATTTACCCTGAATATCATGGTTGCTTATAAAGTTCAGTTGATCTATATTGAAACGGTCTATTTAGTTTCAGGATGAACACTCTTAACAAAAATGACCTAATAGCGATCTTTTGCAAAACACATTTAATTCCCATCTGATAAGCTAACCAAATAAATGAGAAGTAAACCTTCATTCTTTAAGTCAAATCTCAGTAACACATTTCAATAATAAATGATGTATATGTTTGAGTGTATTCAGTAACATGTGTATCTATCTTATCCGCAATAACCAACAAACCATACCATCGATCCTCATACATGTTCCGCATTTACACAACAATAACAATCATGTAACAGTTAACCTATCTGTTTCTACATCCAATGTAATTCCACTTGACATAATAAACATGGGACGAGTGATGCTGTTTTTCAAAACCTTAAAACGTATTCTCACCAACTAGCAACTCACAGGTATGTCAGTGGGATTTTACCAAATAGGCATACTCTTTAATCATTTTAGGTAACTAGAAGTATAACACTGATTATACTCATAAATTCGGCAAAAGTAACAGTTTGATTTTCATAGTGGTCTAAGTGAAAGCTTATGAAAATTTTCACAACGATCGGAATGGATCAACACAAAGACGAAATCATTAATCATCAGTGTGTAGTTGTTGGATTTTAACTCATTTAACTAAGTGTATTAGTCTCAACTAAAAAGTTAGACTATTAGGTTTATTAAACAACATATCAGATTGTGTAAATTGACGTTTTTAGAAAATTACTCTCAGGTCTGTGGAAATTTCACCTTGTCACATGTTCTGTTTCTCAGACTTTTCACGTGCTTCAAACAGAATTTTTTCAGTCAGTATGCATCTGAATCATCAATGTGTCACCAACAAATCAACAATAAACTAACATTTTAGAAAGTGCCTCAAAATATCACGTTACAGACAATAATTCGGAGTAACATTATAACTAAAAGACTTTTTAACTCACCTTGATACAATCCAATTGATTTCCTGACACAGAATGCCTTCGAAGAATTTTAAAATACTGAACACAATGGTTTAATATGTGTCAATAAACCAACTGGTCGTTCATTTTTTCTGAAGAAATAATAAGCCAGTCACATTTTGTAATGCTGCTGCATACTCACTGACTGTGAACACCAATTGAATAAAGTAAAACAAATTACTGTCATATTTACCAATAACAATGAAAGCACTAATGGAATTTAATCATAGTTTACATTTATTTTTTAATATTGTATGATAATATTAGGTGTAATGAAAACAAATTCCAAGACCAGTCTCACATTGCAAAACAAATCCTACAAAAGTGAACCAAAATATCCTATAAGACAGGTATCCAAGTAAGGAAAAAAGGGACATGGTATAGACATACTATTGTTCTAGCCTTAGTTTGAATGATTGTACAAGTTGATACGATGATGGAAAAACAAATGAGCATTTCACCAGTGTGTAGAAGCTTATTTCCCCTATATCTGACTCTAATAAATAGTATCCCGTTAACTGAGTATTTAATGCAGGCTAAATCTCCTAGTGGAATTATCGATTTATTCGAGATTATTCAAAAGCCTGAACACCATTTATAGAGAAAAGTTTATTGTTAAAGATTGGTAAAATCCTCAAGCGTATAGGAAGCACGCACACAGGGGAAACAAGAGTGTGTGTATTTCTGTGTGTGTTAAAAATCCATATATTTATGAGTGCTAATCAAACACGGGCAAATTATTATCTTTTATTACAACCAATGGGAGAATAGATTGAATTGAGTGCAGACATGTGCTCAATCATACTCACAAAGAAATTTACATAGTGGATTATGTGTCTAAATTACAGTGAGCAGATATATAATACAGTAGTTAAATGGGCTTACTACAAGTGATCTCCAGCAAATCAATATGTGCTTCTTTTATGCCACAGAGTTTCGAAACTTATAAAAATGTTCAACAGGTTTTTTAAAGCTTCCTTTGATTTACATTTCATTACAACGAATTGAAACACAAATACAGTGAAGATAGTCGTTCGGATACATTCTGTTATTTCACCAATTATAATTTATAAAGTGTGAGTCATCACAATATTAATCCTGTCCTTCTTTGGTACACATGAACTACCTAGATCATCTTGATAATTATAAGTAAACATTTGAATAAATTTCAGAGATACTTCCTTCGAAATAATCGGTTTATATGTTTTTATTCTAACACAAGTAGTAATGCTGATGTTTGCAGAGATCTGTTAATTCTGATTAATAGAACATTGTCGATCATCTGTAATTAGTATAATATTTCCGGATATTACTGTACATCAGAGTAAAGCGTAATATTGTTCGCTTATATGCGTTGTTCTAATTCATTATATGGGAGTATTCAGATATTTATTGTGGCGAAATGTAATCACTGTGTTATCGAAAAAATGAAGACGATTCAGCGAAGAAAATGTTATTATCGACGACAAGTTTTATGGTCGTATTTATAACAATTCACTAAATATATTCGTCCCCTGGAAAAAAGAGAAACAATAACACAACAAAGTGCTTTGAGTTTTCTAGTGTGTGCGATCGTTACACAGCACTCTGTAGACATTTGAATTTTCCAAACACCTTATGCTAACATTCCTCCTTTTTTCATTAGACTAACATATATATTGGATTGTTTTAGGTACAATTTTAAAACTTGATTGAGTAATGTCATCGAAAGTAGAAATTTCTTCTTTGAATCGTCATTAATAATTTCGGATTTTTGCGTTGTCGAGTTCTCTGAGCTAGGTGGTTTCTTTTCAGAGCTTTCATTTTCTTTCTGGATAACATCAGCAGTGCATGATTTAAATGGAATGCTGTACAACTGATGATATGCAATAAAGTAATATGGCTAAATGACAAGTAATCACAAGACCGAACTATTGATGTTAGCTACTGAATAAACAGATATATAATGGTAAGACATCTTCCAGAAGAATAAGTTTTTCTATAGTGAAGTAACGTGCTCGCATACAAAATATTGGCTACAAAGATGAACACAATCAGAAGCTTCGTGAAACAGAAGAGATCAAAAGATGAGGACTTCGTTTATCTTTAGATGTCAATCGAAATTAAGGACTGGTAACTGGGTATATTGCATTTGAGCCATACAATACACATTTAACCTTTATATTTCAATAAAGTCGCATTAAATCTACTCATTCTGACAGTGCGATACGAATATAAATAACTGAATTCGTTCTAAAATAATATAACAGTGAGTTTTGATTTCAAACATATTTTGAAAGGTGAAAATGAACTCAAACGTCCCCTACATTTATTTTGAGAACGTGACTAGTATTTTCGATCAGGAATTCACATAGATTGAAACTTATTGTTACACACAATGGTCTTTCTCAGTTGATTAATTTCCGTATGATTTTTAACCATAATGTATTGTATCCCTTTATCGAATTCACTCCCGATGTTATATTATATTCTCACTAAACTCATGTAAAACATTAAGGAGGAAAAATACATTTGTAAAATCTCAGTGATTGGATTTTAAGTAAATCCTATATTTCGCTCTGCAATCATGACAACTGATTGTCAGAATTAAGGAACACCAACTTTGTTTGAAGCACATTCATCACAAATCCCCAGACAGTATGAAAAAAAAACTTGAAAACAAGTCAGTGATAGCATTGCACTTAGTAGAATCGGGCCATACAGTTTGAGAGAATAACGGTAAGTTAGTGCGAATAATGTTACTTTTCTTGTAAGTTTTGTATATATCTGACTTGTGGGAAGTTGTACATTATGTATGATATATCGGTTTACACAATCATCATGATTATCTCTGTTCCTTCAGTAGTGTATTCAATTGCTGCAGTATAATATATAAACATAAAATAACAAAGTTTATCCTCCAAGTGTATAGTGATCAACTCAGTGATATGTACTGTAGTAGTAAAGGAAGCTGTAGTTGAATTCAGATGTGTATGTATGTATATGTATGTTTAACTATGTTATCTAATGAATTAAGACGAATATAAATTCTTCGACTACAGTATAACAATAGGAAGTTTATGTTAGGGAAAGATGTGGAGCAAGACTTTTTGAAAAGCATTTGATAAGATGGTATTGGAATTTCACACATGAAATAACATTCCAATGTCCGATCACACTAAAGCAATAAATTTACACATTTATACTGTTATGAAAAACATTATACATGCCATATAGATCTGTGGAATATTTTGGTTTAAAATTGCTTACAATCGTTTTTGTTAGCTTCGTCTGTCGAACAATGAGATTGTGAAAGACTTTCATCTTCTAATTTAGTGTTACAATTTGGTTGGGTGTCACAGAAGTACCACTGACATTATTATTTTCATCACTACTATTTGTTTGAAGTCAGATAAATCCGAAACAACGTCACTGTCTGTTTTCTCCATTTAAGAGCACATTCATCTTTCTTTGAGATTACAAGGTTCCAGTGCAGTGAGTTGATTATTTCTCCACTTTCCAATGTTGGTTTTGGAGACTGTAATTAATCAGTCTCTTTTGACATCAATCAGTCAGTCAGTAACAACGTAGAACTTCGTACGTACGTACATCAGTTCGAGTTATCACACCACATTAGCACAGAGATGCAGTGGTCGATTCAAATTCCGTAGTGGTAGAGGTAATAAGAGTACAAGCAGTAATCGGGAAGATTGGTGTTTGGAGATGTTACTTAAAGAGTATAATACAGTGAAATAAATTTGGGAAGAGAAAAAAAAAGAGACAAGGAAGAGTAAGGAGATCAAAATTTGAGAGAACACAAAGAGTGTATGCACCTGCGCCATTGCAAACGATTTTGAGCCATGTCATTCAGGGTCTTTAACCATCGGTTGCTATCATCTCGCGGTCCACAACCACGTAGTCTATACCTACCAACATGACTCAATTCACTTGACAGTGACTTCATGGACTTGTGCCATATTTTGGTCTGGCCGCCCCTACCTTTCTTCCAATCTACTCCTATACCACTGAACATCGCACGTCGAGGCAGTCGGTGGTTGAGCATACGTAACACATGTCCCAGCCATCTCAATTGATTTGCCATCCTTACCTAGTACCCATTTCCTAACAACTGCATCACTTACTCGATGGTCCCAGGATATACGAGCAATATTTCTAAGACACCTATGATCAAATACTAGTAATCTACGAACATCCTCTACTATTACCGGCCATGTTTCACTGCCATAAAGTAGGACGGAACGAACTGCTGAGCAGTAAACACGTCATTTGGTTGATAGACGGATATCTCGCCTACGCCATAAATGATGCAAGTTGGTAAAAGCTAGTCGAGCCTTCTGTATCCGTGCTGAGATTTCGTCACACACCAGACCACAAGGGCTGATGAGACTTTCAAGATAAGTGAAGCGGTCGACACGCATCCCGAATATGCTTGCATTGTTGCTTAGAGTGGTCAGAAGACTCTTTTGGCTTTTTTGGCATAGATCCATCAATAGCAGATTTCCTCAATATTGTGATTAGACTACAATGATTTTTAATCAGAGTTGATTAGTGGCTAGCAGTTAAAATTAATCAACTCTAGTCGTTCATACAAACAACAAAATGACTCAGATACTTACAAAGGAATTAGAATTCATCTCCACAACGTTATATTGATACTCTATTTTGTTGGTTTTCCTTCAGTTATATAAAAAAGAAGGAGTACAGAAGACATAAAAAGTTATATATTTAGTAGAAAGAATTTCATTTCATATGTGAAAGAAAATCTAGACACAAAAGTGGCTATCAGGACTCAGTAGCTAAGTGGATAACGCGATGGCGTTTGAAGCGAATGGTACTGGGTTCGAGTCCCAGAGTGAACATCAAATCTGAGATGCAGATACATCCAGCTGACGAGTCCCAAATAGAACGAAACGTGCGTCTTGGATTCCACTGCCAGCCACTATCCATCATTGCCTACAAAAAGCTTGTAAATTAAGGCTATATCGAGGCACACGCACAGTATGCACATATGCCGATAGCAGACTGATCAATTGCAGTCTTAAACCTCAGTGAGAAGATACAAGCCAAATAATACCAAGTGAATACAACAGAATAGGTTAATAATGACCTGATATATTTCTATTTTTAGAATTTGATTATATCTATAGATTATTGATTTTCTTTTGATTTTATTGATAATATTCTTCTAGGTCACAGAATTGATACACTAAATAAGCTTAAACTCAGAATTATATGATGAGGAGCCGAAATTTATACCAACTTAGATAAAACTTGGAATAATTTTTAATTTTATAAGCAATGCAACTTAAAGTACACCTATGTACAAAGCTGTTAGTTTTAATCCGAGTACTGATGTATCAATATTTTCATTAACTAAGTAAGAATTAGCAGTGAAATATGGTACAACAATGTTGATGTGAATTTTATAAGAGAAGCTAGTGTTTTGTTGAAAAACGTTGTTGGCGAATGATAAAAGAAGCGAATATTAATACATAGTAGTTTGTTAAAGTAGTAGTAGTTTGGTGTTGGCTTGCAGACAGTTTTGTTTTGAATTCTATATGTTGTTTAAGTGAATGAATTCTGGTCATGCTTTGTCAATCCTTCCTATAACTTCTGCAACAGATAGAAATAATTAATAATTGATTTGAACGAAATCGACAGATGCAGATTGTTATCAAGTGAACTGATACCATTTGTGATGAGGTGATAAAATCAACCAACATGATATGGGTGTGTTCATCCAGAATTCAACTGACAAAATGCTGTTCGCGAAAATATTTATGGATTTTCTGAAACCACAGAAAGTTAACAACATCTGAACTTCATGTTCACTTTGTTCTATTTGATCTAGAACTGCTAAAATTAACTTGAACACGGATTCTTAACTTTCTTACAGTATCATTAATGTTTACTTCGTTGTTTCCAATAACATCAAACAATTTTTCGTTTCGAAATAGGGATACACAGAATTCAATAAATGTGCAATCAGTGAGTGGTTCTGTATATTCGGTCTTATAGAAATCACTTTGATAACTGGTTTGGAATTACGGAAACATGAAGAAAGTGTTACAAAAACAAAAACAGTTTATATGATGTAGAGTTCAGATTCTACATAACTTACATGTTTATACATTTTTTGTGTGTACATTCCATCTTT